TCTTCAGGCGACATTTCACAAAAAGCAATATTCATGTAAATACCATATTTATACATGTATAAAGTCCAATCCGTAAAAAATCATTTATAATCGCATTAATAAAACACTTCCTCTTCTTCGAATATCCTCGCCACCCGTTTATCAACTCCTCTATGTGCATATTGGCCCATATATCTCCAAGGAGATATCATATTCTTTGTTTCTCCTTTTATATCCTCCAATATAATATCTTTAGTTCCTTTACTGTTAACCTTATTATCAATTACTATCATTTTCTTCCTCAAGTTTTCATATTGCAATTTTTTCTTCAAGCTCAAATCTTCCCGTTGATTTTTATCTAATAATAAGTTTTTCCGTGGCAACTTAACCTTCAATGATGATAGTTTCTCATATTTTTCACAAGCTGACGTCTACAGAACTAAAGTCTCCTGCCATCTAGTTATTAACATGTCGTCCAAATCTCTTAAAAACTCCTTTTCTAACGCCGCCTCGTAAGCCCACACTATTCTTCTTAAAAATCGCAAATCCTTTATATTATATATCGGCATGTTCATAGACGTATAATTACCAATTGAGACAGAAGAATAATTCGGTATCTTTTCTCCATCAGGATTAATTTTTATCACGGATTTCTTTGGTGTTTTCGTAAGTTTCTCAATCATCCTTGGGCCACTAGGTCCGAACGATTCGATCTGTTTTAATACCCATTTCACTTTCTTCGGACTGTTCCCAGGTTTCCTATCTAACATTGATAATTCCAATATCATGTTCAACAAATGAGAATCCAGACAAATATCCAACCGCTTCGTTGCTATAATATCTTTAAAAAATTCCTTTCCAGTAGTCCAATCTTCTGTTATTCGACATGCTGTCAATAACATATCATAGGTTTCTAAGGTCGGTACTAATCCACGAGCTTTAATTGGATAATAGACGTCAATGGACTTGCTAAATTTTCCAACTTGATTATAACAAGTAATTAATTTGTTGAAATTATAAATGTCCAACGAGAGATTCGGAAATTGACTTAAAGCTTCATCGAATAACATTATGCCTTTTTCGAACTTTCGGGCACAAATACACAAGCTTAACATAATATCCACAGATTTTTCGTTCATTATGCATCGATATGTCGTAGATGATGACGTTGTTTTATGTGAAATGTCGCCTGAAGATGTTAATCCATATACATCACGAATTATTTCGAATCCTTTGTCATAATGTTCAGTTTTCCGGCACACCAACAACATGGCTCTTACTAGTTCATCATCCATTTCCAGCCTAACTTTCAT